AATCACCCAAAACTAATGAAGGATGGACTTTCGAACTAACTTCAACTGGTGCCCAGGAACTTCATCGAAAATTACATCTGTGATATCCAGACTGCGAGCATGGACCATACCAGATACACCAGCCATGAAAAATACTCCGGATGCAGCGTGCAACAATCCAGCAGCACGCACCATTGTTCCTGCTCTGAGACACTGTAATGGCAGATGGAACCCAAAGCCATGGCCTAAATGAACTCAATGGACACTTTAGAGCGATGGCCCATGGAGTAAGAGAATGGTGACAGTGAAATAATCTGGGCATGACGTAGATGGTATGGAATAAGGGGTGGATAATGTCCTGGATAATTCTGGCAAGGATAGAGTTAATTTTACAAGGAGTCAGGACAGGTGACCCGAGCTGGCCAGGGGCTATTCCATGCCATGTGCCGTCATGCTCACCATAAAAAGGGGGCTAGTCGGGTAGGGGAGGGGCGGCGCAGTTTCCGTGTGGTTCTGGGATGGGCTGAGTGTCTGGTCGGTCGGTAGTTGGTTCAGTAAATTGTTCTCTGTTATCACCCATTGTTAATATTTGTTATCAGCACTGTTGTTGATTGTTTTTCCCTCTCCCTTGTTGTCCCAGTAAACTGCCCTTACCCCAACCCTTGAGGCTTTTGCCGTTGTTTTTTTCCTGCTGGGGAAGGAGTGAGTGAGCGGCCGCGTGGCGCTCAGCTGCCGGCTGGGCCTAAACCACGTCAAACAGTTTTATCTCTAGACCTAAACTGGATTTCTACAGCTACAGAAAATAGTGAAAGAACAGAAGAAAATTTCTTGAGTTCCCTCAGTGGGGAGACACAATCCCAGAATTCATGTTTCTAAAATGGGAGGACTAGGGAGCTTTTGGCAGGTCTCATGGGTTTACCAAGAAGGAAACGAAGGAGAATGATAGAGCAGCCATGTCTTGTCTCCTCAGCATGGCAAGAGACTGTGGAGACCAACTTCCATAAGAACTACTAGGAAAAACACACAAGCATTGGCTGTTGTGGCATCCCAGGAGACAGCTGCGGTCACAAACCCTGTTCTCAAATGCCGTCCTCCTACTACTGCAAGGCAAGACTGTGTCTCACACATAGCCTTCACAAGATCAACCTGGAAGTGTCACTTATTTGTAACATTGATTAAAGAAACTGAAGCTGGTTTACACTTTATTATGGTAATCGTGTTTGCTAGTATCTAATTTGGAGAAGTAATAATGGTCAATTCTTTTGTTGTTATGAGTGGTACTCACCTCTAACAGATGTGTATCTATGCCTTTTATCCTTGGTCCTGGAACTGGTGGTAGGAAAAAGGCTATCATTCTGAAAAAAAACAGAACAAACACACAAGGTGTAAGTATGGGTCCTATCTCTTTGTTCTCCCATTTCCTCGGAATGTGACTAACATGTTAAACGCTTCTCCCGTATCTGATGCCTCCCTGCCGGACCTCCACTTCCTGTCTGCCTCTCAAGCCAGGTGATTTACAAATGCAGTTACAGTTTGTAAGTTACCCTTAGATGTATTTATAAGGAAGAGAACAATACAAAACTTACTCAACTGGAAAAATAACACTGCTAATGTCCTTCTGTTGTCCTTTATCCCTTAGCCTCCAGTTCTCTAATATCACTGTAACTTCATCGCTGGCCAAGAAGCAGCTATGTGAGGCACAGCTCTGGAGGAGTAGTGGGCATTTATGTACATACTTGACTGCCAGCTGACTACTACTAAACAGGATTTAGGATGTATGACTTCTCATGGCTTTTCCATCAATGGTTTCTATCTTGTTCTTCTATTCAGATGATAGTATTTTTTGCAAGACTTGTACATAAGTGATAATCTTTGTGACACCTTCCTCTTTCAGATTTGACTGAAATTAGCCAGTGTTCTAGTAAATTATTTGGGGAATTGACAGATAGGTGAGCAGAAAGAACCTCATAATATAACCTTATTTCCTTTAGAAAATTAGGCCAAAACCAAAAGGCACATCATCTACAGGAGCAGGGATACTCCAAATGATATATGCTGACTACTTACATGGCTAACCACAATGGTCAGGTCTAATAAAGACATGTCTTTACCAACTGAGAATTTAGCCTGGCTTCCCTAAGGAACAGAAATACCTCCTTATCAGTGGTGAATTTAGAGGCAAATACATGTAACTTAGAGTTTATAAGAGAACACAAAACCTATAGGAAATTGAATTAAATGGTAGAAGTCTCTTTTTGAAAAGTTTATTGAGATTTTCAACTCAATGCAATTGTGAAATTGGTGACTTACCTGTACCCTTTCAAAACCATTGTCCAGCTCATGATTAAACATACAAGAGATGACAAGACACCAACAACGATCCACACAACCATCTCTCTTACTCTAAAGTCTAGGAAACAAACAGAATTATTTAAGGACACATATCTAGCATATGCATAGTCAGCATGCAAAAAATATTTTAAAAATAAAATTTATTTTATCTGAAATTACTTTTATTTAAAAAATTGGTCTAAACTGCCAAATTTGGTATTGAATCTAGAGGGTTTTACTAGCGTAGATGGATCTCAACAATCATTGTAATAACTGATAATAAGTATACTTTTTATTAATGGCACTGTGCAGGAAATAAACTCTCTTGGAAAAATGATATAAAAATGTATGAAGAGGGAAATTTTGTCACAGCCATTATAGCAACTGTTCAAATCCAATTATATCAATACTGTAGTCATTTCATTATCAAATAAATATCATATAATCAATTAAATGGTTAAATGATCAAGGACTAGATATTTTTAAGGATTTCTATTGTAACATAAACTTTTTACTGAGGTGTTTATTTCAAATTCATTCCAGATAAAGAATACTGAAGAGCTGTTACTGTCTGAAGGCAGTCACTCTTTGTTGTCTATGTAGCAATTTTAATGCAGTTACCTGTATTCTTTCAATTAAAAACTACCATCAGAGAACAAATGAGGCAATAAACAGAAACGACATGGTTTAAATAAGTAAAGAAATTTATTCACCTTCTTAACTCCAAAAATTAATGCAGGGGAAAGCTAACTGGGTATGGTGTAGGGATGCTGAGAATTCAGTTACCTTAGTAATGATGTTCTTACCTGTCATAGGAAAACTGTGGGATGTCAATCTTCACAGGTGCCACAAACAGCTAACAAAAGTATTACATGAACTTCCACGTAATAACAATTACTGAACGAATGCCTGGCCACTCACCAGTAGGGATCTCAATATAATATTCTGGGCTCCATTCACTCCATAATCCATAGTGGTCTGCTTTGCAGTGAATCTGTATAATATACTTCTTTCCAGGATTTAAACTAAACATTTTATATTGTGTTTGCTGTCCCACAAAAACAGTCTGCAAAATGAATAAAAATCATAAAATGCATATCAACTTGAGACATTTTGCTGTGAAAATCACAGCTAGGTTTAAGTCTTGATAACCAAGTTGGGAATATAAAACGAATCTGGATAGCTTCCTAATAATTGTTATGCAGGCGTAGAACAATGGTACATTTATTTTATTTCTAATTTATTTCTCATTCAGTAGGAATGAAATCTGTTTCTGGTATACTGTGCAAATTACACTACTACAAAACCACATCATAAGCATATGGCAAATGGGGAGGAACTGTGGTAATGGTGGGAACTGCAATGATGAGAGGAGGAGAAGTAGGCAAGAAACAGCAATGGGGTAAGAAAATGCAGAGAGAAAAGAAGGAATGTGGAGTTGGTGGAACTGCACAGGGTAGTGAAAAGTGGATCTTGCAATGGCCAGGGGGCTGGGAAGTGCAGTGGCAGGGCGAAGGAAGGAGGAGATACAAAGATCTCTGTATGAGAAGTATTGCAGCAGAGAAGAAGGGGATGCAGCCAAATACCAATAGCTGGAGACTTTAATTTGCTACCCAGTTGTTTGAGTTGCAGATCCTGGCTATAGACAAGTATTATGTGGCCATCACAACTATCACCTAATAGTTGTTTGTACAAATTTAAATGATTTTACAGAATGTCACTGAGCTTTCTGTTACTTAAGAAGTGCTTGTGGTCAAGACCAAATTATCACAAAAGAAGCCTGACTAAATGAGAACAAACAATTTAAACTGTAATGCAGTATGATTAATATATAATGGCCATAATTAAAAATAAGTACTTTATCACCTGCTATCACCCAATAGCATCTGAGATACCAGTATTCTTAGTAAGAAATCATAGTTCACACAAGCACTTTTGAAAAATGATGAACTATTCAGTGTGCCTGCTTCATTGCATTGAGGCATGGGACCTAGCTGAAAAAATCTAAATGATCACAAAACATAATACAGCAAAAACTTGCAACATCCTTACTTCCCATTCCTCTCCTTCTTCAGGCTTTAGTCGCAACTCATATTCAAGGGTAAGCCATCCAGATCTGATATCAGCCAGCGGGGGTGGAGACCACGTCAAGACCAGATATGTTTTTCTATTTATCGGCTTTTTTAATTCCAGAGTTACATTCACAGGAGGATCTGGCTGTACTGTTAAAATAAAAGAACTGACAATAAGAGTCTAAATGATTTTTCCTTGCATCTTATGAAGAAATATAAAATGGTGTGAGTGGTGAGTTGCCATGTCCATTGTGTCTAGTAATTTAGAACTCGTGCTGGAATACAGAGCTCAAGAGTTTCCTGATAAAGTAAGCATGAATTTATGAATGTGAAGAACAGATGAGGAGCAGCAAATATGTTGAGTTCACATTGAGATTTGCCTTAATTGTTTATCACTAGAAATAATTTTTTCTTACATTACCATTTATTGTTACTTTTCCCCAGAACTATGTTTCAAAGTTAACATCTTTAATGCTTTGTTATGAAACTTGTGTTTTACCGTAATCTTATTATACTAAAGCCCTATCTATATCTCAAAAATAAACCAAAATGGAACGCAGGTTTCTGCTACGGTTAGGCTTGCAGCTTCCTCAGTTCAGAGGTAGAGCTTCTGCATATCATGCATGTATTTTACCATTGTCTGATGCAAAGCTTCATCAAGTAAGCAGTCAGGGCAAAGAGGCAAAATGTAAAACCTTTTCTCCAGGAGCCCTTTTCCAGTTGCCAGAGCCTTCATAACAAAATGGTTATCAGTGACAACGTTCCGTTCCCTTCAATAAAAACCTAAACATTTGTCCACAGGTACTTTGTGGAAAAAGTCTGAGAAAAGAGATTATCAGTACACTGCTATAAAAAGCATTAATTCACCATCTCTTGGGTCTGGAAACTACTTTTAGGTAATAAATTTTAAGTATTATTAGTTAAAAGATCAATTTCATTTCAGTTGCTGGTAGAGTGGAAAAAGATTTTAGCTGGGCTTGACTGAAAGAAATATGGAAAACCAATAAATGGTTATCTGAATGCAGTTTTAAAGCTTTTAGCAATTTTAGGTTTCCTTTGAAAATAAAATGGTAAAGGGATGAATATTGATTTATTATTACACCAGAGAAGATCTTATCTGTTCTTAAAAGTTTTTAACTTGGATATAATACTATATATGCAGAGCTGGAAATACAATTGTGTCAAAACCCATATTTTGAATTATTTGGTTCCACAGAAAATAGTTTTTATCTCTTACCTATGTAAGTCACATCCACATAACGAGGATCAGAGACGTTACTTCCCATTTCATTAGTTGCCCTCACAGTAATATTGTATATGGTCCAGAATGAGGTGTGCTTTTTATCGAAGTAGCATGAATTGGGGCCCGCAGTTCTGTAATCTGGACATTCATAAATTTGTTGTTCTCTGAAATGAAAGAATCACAGTGATTAGGTTACAGAAAGACACCTGACTTTGACTACTAGCAGGTCAGCATTAATTAGGGCTGGATCAGATTTTCATGCCTGACAATGTGAAGAAAATCAGAAAACTGCTTTCAGACTAAAGACTTATCAGACAATTCCAGAGACTGTAGTATGCATTTTCTCCCCAAAATAAATACTACAAAGCCTGAAGAATTTAGGCTGCTGTAGATGCAGCAGAGGACTAGTAGAGTGCAGCTCTTACTTTTCTGAACGTTCACTGCATAGCCCTTACAGATTCCAGAGAGCCAGCAGAAGTGATTGCTGAAGTCTTCCAACTCATGTATTAAAAACTAAGTATTTCCAATGTTCATTTCACACTTACGCGAGTTCTGCATGTTACATTAATATACTTCCAGAATTTGTTTTGGTCTTTCATCGCCTGTTCCTCAAAAAAATCTGCTTTGTACCTGCCCTCCAAATCCTTCCCAAAGGAAGCAGGGATAGAAGAGAAAGTTGAGTACGTAGTTTCCAGGCTCCTCTGAGATGCACAATATCAAAAGAGAAAGTTGTGGATGTGGATCTCAGACTCTGCCCTGGCTGGCTGGACCAGTATCTGTCTTTGTCCACTAAGACCTGGCTCTCAGCTGACAAGTAGAGTTTAGCATCCAGTTAGGTCAGCACAAGGCTGAGCAGTGCTGGGTGAACCAAAAATAGTTCAAACAAAATACTGACTACCCCTTTAAAATGAATGTTTGGCACTTGATCTAAGTTCCAGGACTAAAATTACTGCAGAAGCCAGGAGACATTTATGGCCTATGAATACTTGTGCAAAATAAGCATTATCAGAAGATGAACATTTTAATATCTGGTCATTTTGAAAAGCTTTATTTCTGGGGCTGTGTGGCCAAAAAGCTACAGGACTGTGTATTTGTATTGCATACTATTACGCAGTTGCTGTGCCATGGCTACTTTCAAGGCAGTCTGTCTTTCAAGGCAGAAGAATTCACAGATATTTGAAAAACCTAACATTATAAAGAGATCCTATTTCAACCTTAAATATGTTGCTGCTAGGCTATTCCAGAATATATGTCACTTGGACAAAACCATGTGCTATGGAAAATGACATCCCCTAAATGCAGAACCAATCAGGATTGATTTTTCAGGTCCTACCAATAAAACACTGAATAATTATACACAGCTTTTACCCTTCTTTGCTGTAAAGCAAAGTGTAGTTAGTAGGATGTCCTCCATCTGAACCAGGCTTCCACCAACAAGTAAATGTTTCCTTTTCTGGAGAACGGCATTTTATTATTGTAGGCTTTTCAGGAGGTGACTCTCCTGTAAGAGATAAAGAAATGAACTAATTATTTAGTTGAATGCATTATGTCAACCCTGAAAGCAAAAAACAATGCCAAGCAGAGCACAGGAAAATAATTTTTCTTTTCTACAAGGAAAGAAAAGCTTTTGCTTCATACTAGAATAGGAAAGGGCTAGGTGGTTAGGGTGGCAGCATGCTACTTTGACCTGGATTCAAAATCCTTTCCCACGGCAGTTATGCTGAAGAGCTACGTTTTAGTTCCCTGGCTGTGGCTCTTGTCTGCCCCCAAATCTGATAAGGGGTGCTCAAATACTGTCATAGCAGATTGTATGAAATTATTAAAATATACTCTGCTATCCAATCCATTTTCTACAGAAACAATTTTTTCTTAAAAAAAAGGTATTTGAAGATGCTTCTGATTGTTAAAAAAATATGCTGTCATTTGTTTTGGCTTTTACAGGAAAAAACCATGGAACATGTTTTCCCATTTGTTTATGTCCTTGCCAGTAACTCTCTTCTGAAGTACCTATGCTCAGCTGACTTCAAAGATACAAAGAAGTAGCTCTCATATTTCCTTGTAAAGTGAAGTTATGCTCAGAACTCAGGCTACTTGCCTGATTGCTGCCAAGCAATTTATAATTATTTGGATTCCTGATGATGTTTTTATAGACTCAAGCAAAGCACTTAGAGTAGGGCAGAGGAAAATGCTTAAATTTTGAAATGGGATGATGCTAATCAAAACCCTGATGTGACTGAAAATTTTGCAGTTACGTATTTGTGGCAAAATGTGGTCCTATTACATCAATAATATATATTTTCTACTATTTAGAGTAGGGGCATTGATTTTCCAAATTTCTAATTGCCTAAGGCAGATCTGAAAATGGGACATTTAAAAAATATTTTTCTGTTAACAGTACTTCAGTAATCTCCATGTCAAATAATGAATAATACAATTAGTGACAGAAGAAGATTTGAGACAACCTGGCTAAAGTGTCTGACAGCAAGATATGATGTCATGCATATTTAATGCATCCACTCCAACCCAGTAAAACACAGATAATTATTTCCATGTGATAGTAGCTGTAAGTGTTATACTCTCTTAAACATCGCAGTGCTTTCAGTCCAGTTACTAATGAACAAATGAATGATTCTTACACAAGTACCATTTCCTGATATCTATAGCTACAGATGAAATCAACATAGTTTTTAAATAGAGAGACAGGAAAAATAAATTATTTAGGCGCACCTGTATCAGAAGTGACTGCCTAGTAAATCCCAGCCTGTTTGTCATACAGAGTTTCAGCAGAGGATCCTGAGCGGATCAACCAGACTAAATACACAGTTACACACAAAGTATGGTAAGATGCACTGAGCTGTTCCTCCAGCGCTATGAAGTATCTGTTTGAGGAACTGAGTTTTCAGGGCTGCCATTTAGGCACCTTTCACAACACTGAACTGGCTAGAATTTAAAAACACTTAACAGCAATCATCTGCTCACCTTTGGGGATCTGAATGTGTCTTTCAGAGCTCCACTCACTCCATTCTCCAAGGTTTAATGTGCAACGGACCTGAACAACATATTTCACCCCAGCTTGTCTCATAATCACTTTGTACTCTGTCTGCTCTCCAAGAGATACTGTCTGGAAAAGAAAATGGACTGGAAAAATAATAAAGAATTGTGCCCCTTTAACAAATAAACCATAAAGGAGTAGGCTTGTGTCACTGACTTCTGAAAGGCAAGGGTTTCAGTCCAGTATTTTATAAGATGTGAATTTCAAAGAAGCAAAGGTAGTGACTTAACAGGAAAACTCACTTCAGTAACACTGAGATTCTGATACTTGAGAACATATTTAGTTGTAGACTTTTTATAAGTTAGTATTCCATCAGATCCACAACGCGATGAACACTACAGGTAGTCCAACTCACAGATAAACTCTCTGTGTAAGGCTTCTTAGTGGCTAGTTTTAGTGCTTATTATTTCAGGCCCTTTCAATCTCTCTTCAGAAGTCTTTCAAGACACAGTGTTCTCCATCATTAAGGCATTAACAATTTAGGTGATGTTGAGGTCATCTGACTATGGCTTTAAGAATGATATTTTGTCCTGTTATCTCAGCTGTGGCAGTACTGTTGGTCCACTCCTAGCAAAAGGGCAACAGCCGGGAATGTCAATGGAAATAGTGTGTGTGAGTAGGACACTCCATACTTTCTGAGAGGGGAGTTGTCCCCAGCTGATCATGTTGATAATGATGACTCTCAGCCCGATTAAACAGCAATTAAGGAATAACTGAGAGACTTCTGAGACAAAAAGGGTCAGCTTGAAAATTTGTAGTAGTGGGGGAGACTGGAAATTTCAGCAGTAGCTGAAGCTTAGTGCTATCAGAAGCTGCTCTGCTAGCATTGTGACCTCTGCCTGGGCAGAGCAGCCTCCCTTTCTCATGCAGTGAGCAGCTGCACTCCAGACAGCATGGGCAGCAGCAGGCAGGAAACCACACCTGGGTATATGCATGTGACCGTCCGGCTGCTTTCTCACTGATGTGTGTCTTAGTAGACAGTAAGAAGGGACATGGGTTCACATTAAGTGTGAACACATCTATCTGTGCCCCCTGCAGAAATGGGTGTAAGTGGGGGAGTTTGAACTCCCAGGAGGGTGGGTTATATTTCTGTATATTGTAGTGTATTTCTGGGACTAGTTATAGAAGTATGTTTATAAATTTGTAGGTGCCTATTAACATTTTTAAGTGCCCGGTATTTTGATTTATCTGTTGTATTACTGATACTGGCCTTGACTGCATAGTTAACTAACTGCTTGTTAATTATATCTTAATGAATCAATAAACTGCTTCGATCCTGATTTAGTTTAAACTATATGAACTAAGCAGTTTCTTACTGTGACATTTGGGAACAGACACACTGATGAAAATTACAATTAAATATTACATCAGTGGATTAAATAGGGTTTTTTAGTAGCTGACATTAGGACAATTATGTAATTACCTTGAATTTCACTATCTCTACAAACAACTGCAGTATTTTTCTTTCTTTAATCAGATTTGGTTACATTAATTTTTCTATCCTTATAGAAACTAATTTTTTGTAGTACCACTTAAATTCAGACAAGAGAACTCACTGAAAAAGCATTTATACAATAAAAATATTTTTTCTGTTACCTCCCACTCTTCCTTTTCCTCAGGTTTTAGTCGTAGCTCATAGTGATATACATGTGAATTTGAGCTGACATCGGCTAATGGAGGGGGAGACCATTTTGCCCAAAGGTACATTATGCTAGCAGATGTTTTTGTTTCTAGAGAGAGGTTCACAGGAGCATCTGGCTGAACTGTATAAATGAAAAGTTTGCTATTAATGATTTAGTTTTCTCTCAGAAAACACACCTCTGTTACGATTTTGTATTTCAGCAAATTAATTTCAGATCATTCAGCACTTCTGTAAAGGAATAGTACAATAGCCTTTTTTTCCTTTCCCCCTGATAATGTTTAACTGGCTACTGATTTACCACAGTATCAGCAAATCTTAGACTTTACTCTGAATTTGTCAGGCTAAGGAAATACAAATCATAATTTCATTAGGCCACTCTTGCAAAATTAAAATAGCAGATATTTTATAGTTAAAAAGGCTAAGTACATTTATCATTACAATGTGTAGATTATGTGTATGCAGAAAGCAGAATGGAGTTAGGAATATGAAATACTACAAAAAGCCCGCAGAGTGCTTAGGCAGTTATTTTTACCCTCCCAAGACTGCTATACCAGCAGCCATAAAGATTTGGAAAATTTAGGTAGCTTAACCTCATTTGAAAATTCTATGACCTACAGTGCTAGGAACCTACAAAACTGTCATTGACTCTAATCAAAATACTGGAGATAACTAGAAACTGGAGCCAATTTTTCAGCCAAAGTAAAGTGACACTAAAATATGTAGTTAACTTATAAGTAAAATGCAGTTTTCACATAAATTGAAGATGAAAATTTTAGGTCATATGTAGATAAACACTCCATAGCAAGTTTCACATCATGAGGAAAGAAATCTTTCACCACTACTTGTTCTGGGATTAAAAACCACATACATCTCCAATTAGTTTGTTTTCCATTTCATTCTTCCCTTTTTACCTATGGAGGTCACATCCACGTACTGAGGATCTGAGCTGTTACTTCCAATTTCATTCGTTGCCATTACAATGATACTATATGTTGTCCAAGGATTAGTGTGGTTTTTATCAAAGTAGCAGGAATTGGGACCTGACGTTCGGTAGTCCGGACATTCATAGATTTTTTCTTCACTGAAATAAAATTATTTAAAAAGTTAGATGTTTAGGAAATGAAACAAATCAGATGAATGTTCTAGTAATGGCCTAGGTTCTGCAAAGAAATTTGAAATGTTTAACTTTAAACCTGTATATAATCCCATCTCTGGGAAACATTTTGGTGAGTGTCAAATGCTATTACCATAAGTGCTTCATTGCTACTTTTAATGCAGTTGTTCAGGATGAATGCGTTTATCCCCTTTTTTATACATAGGCATATGTCGACAAAAGAATGGAAAGAGAAATTTCTAGAGATAGCACAAGGCACTTTTAAAAATGTTGAAAAGCAAGTTAAAAGGCAAATTAAACACATTCACTTTGACTAAAGAAGAAAAGTTGCTAAATATCTTATCTTCTTTCTTATCTTCTTTACATATTTCCCCTGGAAAGTAACATGATGTGCCCTATGGCAGAGGAGTGTTTTATTGATTATTTTGCTTTCAGCAAGATGCTAATTTATCTGCTTTTTAACATCATCACCATCACAACTGTCTCAACAAAAAATATTTGATCAATTCATGATCTCTTCCCTGTTACCTTTATAGGAGTCTTTGGCCTTTTTAAGGATTGTTTTGTACTTAATTAAAGCTGAACTGGGGGATGTACTCAGAGCCTATTCCAGGTGTGAAGAACTGCGCAAACCCAAAGCACCAGCTGACATGGTTCAAGGATGCACTTTGGTCCCACTGTTATGCTCTATGCACTGATAATAACAAAGTCTCTTAGTTTCCAGGCAGTTTTGTCCCAGAAAGAAAAGAAAAGGGGACTGTACCTGAGAGATGATGAGCTAAGGCAACCATGGCCCAGATCTGGAGTGCTTAGCGGTGTTCAGCACATTTAATGAAACACATAAGCACTTCTGTCCATCCCTAAGCAAGATTGTTCTGGGCTGTGATAGGTGTGACTTAGAATGTTCATTAAAATTTCTGCTTTGATTGAGATTGAAACATCTGGACTGTCATAAAATAAAAGCTGTCAAATCATTGTCGAGTGTGGCAACTTCATTAAAGACTGCATCTTTCCTGATCAATTAATACCAAATGATTTGGAGTTCTTTTTAACTGAAGCAGGAAAGTCTGAGGCTTTACCTTATGTATCCTGAACCTCACTGTATATATTCAAAGAAATTTAATCTTTTGAGCCTCCTTGCTTACTTGACCCAGTTCTGAGACCTCTTGTTTTCAGGAACAAAGGGCAGTTATGCAAAGAAGCACAGGTTAAGCAAAGTTGCTAATCATACATGTTTTATTCTTAAATAGGATGAGGGAGCCACAGACTTTACCAGAACAGTAACTTTTGAGATGTAATACCCACATCTGATTTTACTCCATTGTGGGAACCACGAGGTGGAAGTAAAGGGAAAGGGAAGTAAAGACTCTCTATAGATTTTCTCCAGATGGGGCTTTGCTGTGCACAGTAATGGAAAAGCTCCTCAGCACCAGCAGCCTCCCCAGGGCCTCCCCACACACTGCCTGCGGCCCAGGGCCCCATTCCAGCACAGCGCAGCAGGGCTGGTCTCCAGCTCCCCACAGCCCTGCCCTTCCCAGCCACGGGCCATGCTGAGCCAGCCCCAACCTGCAGGCTGACTGATGTCCTGGCCCAGCCCGGCCTTGACCTGTCCCTGTCCCCACAGAGGTGCCCAGAGCTGCGTTACCCCCAGCCTACCCTGCTCCCTGGGTGGGGTGGTGGGATGGGCCCTGGACGGAGGCCCTACCCTGCCACCCGGGGGGGACCCTGCGGCCTCATGGTGCCTTGATGCTCCCCTCCTCATGGAGCATGCCATTCAGCTAAAAGCTGTGTGCCTCCTGATAAGATGGACAAACTACACCCTGGCCAGCGTGTCTTTAGACCAGTGGGATATTAGGTCAGATGAGTTTCAGTAGGGACAGGCTGAAGGTTTAGGACTGGTAGTATTCACGTTTTCTTCCAACAAGGGAAAGCCATTCATTTCATGTAGCCCTTGTTGGCTGTCTAAGGTTTAATATGGATTCATAAAAACACCTTTATAAATTATTCTTTTCTTTCCCTCATTCTGTCATAATGGTCACTTGATCACTTACAGAATAGGTATGCACTGCTTGTTACCTGTCCTTGCTGTAGAACAGGGTGTAATTGGTCGGAGATCCTCCATCTGAGCCAGGCTTCCACCAACAAGAAAAGGTTTCCTTTTCTAGAGAATGACACTTTATTATCTTAGGTTTTCCAGGGTATGATTGACCTAGGGAAGTGCAGAAATCCAGCTAGTTATATTAGAGTTGGATAATGTTTTTTGTTGTTATTGTTGAATGATAAATTCAGCAAGGAATGCTTTTTTGAGGTCAATAAAATTATTTGAAATTATGGACTAAATTTGGCAAATAAATCTGTCTGGAAAAAACTATCAGAAAAGTAAATATATTTTATCTCAAACTTCTAAAATAGCTACTGAAATGATTTTACTTCTCTTTTTCAAATGAAAATTTCATTTTTACCTAAGATTAAATGTGCACAGTTATCTCAACATTAAACTAAAGAGCTTGGAAGTAAATGCATGACCTTTTGTTTTTTTCCTAAAATATGCAAACTTTTTATCTTCAAATTATCTTAAAATGAAATCTCACCTCCAACTTTGCAACAGAATCAAAATTCCACTGTTTGCACATACTTGGGGTAAATTATAGGTTAGACAAGTAATAAAAAGAAAACATCAATGGGCTGGATGTAGTATTTTGTGTATTAGCAACCTAAATATATTCATTAATTATTTAAATATTCCCTAGCAATCCCAATAAATTTAAGAATATTTCCTGTTAAGACTACTTCTCCAACATTGGACGTTTTAAAGATTCGGCTGGACAGGGTGCTGACCCATCTTGTCTAGGCCATGCTTTTGCAAAGAAAGGTTGGACCAGATGATCCTTGAGGTCCCTTCCAACCTGGTATTCTATGATTGTGATTCTTGTCATTAACTTCTACTAAGAACATAGACTGTAAATTTACACACATTTTGACACGAAAAGCATGTGGCTTTTCAAACTAAACATACCTTTATTTCATTAAAGTTCCATACCATATCTCTAATAGTGTTACTATTCATATGATGCTAATTCCCAAGAAGGTGACAAGCATGGAATGATTGTAGGGATGGTGTGAGTGCTTTTCATCGTCGCCACCACATAATCATTAAATCAATACTATAAAAAGAAAAGAAGACTCAAGTCATTTTCAGAATCTCCATACAAACTTTAGAAGAAAGTAGAATCATAGAATGGTTTAGGTTGGAAAGCACCTCAGTGATCATGTAGTTCCATCCCCCTGCCATGGGCAGGGACACCCTCCACTAGACCAAGTTGCTCAAAGCCCCATCCAGCCTGGCCTTGAACACTTCCAGGGAGGGGGCATCCACAACCTCTCTGGGCAACCTGTGCCAGTGCCTCACCACTCTCACAGGGAAGAGTTTCTTCCTTTAATCTAAATTTACCGTCCTTTATCTTAAGGCCATCATCCCTTGTCCCATGACTACATGCCTTTGTTACAAAGAATCCTTCTCCAGCTTTCCTGTAGGCCCCTTTAGGTACTGGAAGGCTGCAATTAGATCTCCCTGGAGCCTTCTCTTCTCCAGGCTGAACAACCCCAACTCTCTCAGCCTGTCCTCATAGGAGAGGTGCTCCACCCCTCTGATCAACTTTGTGGCCCTCCTCTGGAGTCACTGCAACAGCTCAATGTCTCTCCTGTACTGGCGCCCCCAGAGCTGGACGCAGTACTCCAGGTGGGGTCTCACGAGAGTGGAATAGAATCACCTCCCTTGACGTTGTTCTTGATGCAGCCCAGGATATGGTTGGCTTTCTGGGCTGCAAGCACACATTGCTGGCTCACGTTGAGCTTCTCATCCATCAACACTCCCAAGTCCTTCTCCTCAGGGCTGCTCTGAATCCATTCTCTGCCCAGCCTGTAGTTGTGCTTGGGATTGCCCTGAGCCATGTGCAGGATCTTGTACTTGGCCTTGTTGAACTGCATGTGGTTCGCACGGGCCCACCTCTCCAGCCTGTCAAGGTCCCTCTGAATGGCATCCCTTCCATCCAGTGTGTTGACTGCACCACACAGCTTGGTGGTGTCAGCAAACTTGCTCGATCCCATTGTCCATGTTGCCGACAAAGATGTTAAACAGTGCTGGTCCCAATACCGACCCCTGAGGAACCGCCACTCATCACTGGTCTGCACTTGGTCATCAATCTGTTGACTGCAACTCTCTGAGTGCGACCATCCAGGCAATTCCTTATCCACCGAGTGGTCCATCTGTCAAATCCATGTCTCTCCAATTTAAATACAAGGATGTCATGTGGGACAGTGTCAAATGCTTTGCAGAAGTCCAGGTAGATGACGTCAGTCACTCTTCCCTTAAAGTAATTTAAATACATACAGGCTCCAGTGTGGTCAGGATAGTTTGGGTAAAGCCTCAGACTTTTCTGAAGGAAGTGTTTTAAGGAAAACCAAGTGTTTTAGGAAGTCTTGTACTTACCATTCAGACCCACCGCAGTCAGAGCAAGTAGCAAAATAATTTGAACTGATGATGTCAATTTCTGTTTCATGATGCCTGCTTCTCCTCAGGAGGAAATATCAGTTCAAGGGCTCACTGAAAAATAGGACATCATGCAATAGTAAGTAACAATGCTTAACAGGTAATATGCATCACTTGGCTTGATCAAAATCCTTTTGGAATTGCAGCTAATTGATTCTTGTTATTTCTCAAAAAGGTGTGGCAAAAGCTACAGTTCCACTTCACAAGCAGAAAACCTGAATCACGTAGTATGTCTTCCTGAAGGTCTTTGTATGGTTAGCAGTGCAAGGATTACAATTCCATAGCATTAACTAATCTTGCATATTTATTGGGAGTCTTGGGATAGCCAAAAGCACTGGATGCTTTTCTTAAAGCTCTAACTTTTAGACTCATTAATTTACCTGAGATATCAGCCTTTAAGTAACAAAAAATACACTTTTCCCCCTGTTGATACAAAGAACAACTCAAGGTACTTGAATTCTGAAAAGTGCTGAAAACAGAAGGCAAATAGAAAATATCAAAACATTATTTAGAAGTTTATGATTTTTTGAGCCAATCTCATGACTTCTGAATATCTGGGACTGGCAACGTTGAATTCTGGATCACCCGAGCTGAAGAATGCTACTCTTCTGTGCATTCAACTTGTTTTTACTGCATTTGATTTTGCAGTGAAGTGGAAATGCCAAGATCGGAGAAAATCAAACAAGGAGAAAGTAGCGTAAGTTCACAGTTAATTTATCAGGTGAAAATGCCAAATGGGAGGCAATTATTCCTCTTTCTTCAACCAGTAAAGGCCAGATGCAGTGTTGCAGAACTCGGCTGAAATACAGAGGTGCCACTGGGAAGTCTCCAGCTGTGAAGACCCAGTCCCTGCCTTGGGCTGACGCCACTAGATGTCCTCAGAATTCAGGTTACAGCCGAGGGGGATCAGGAGTCCCTGTTGCTGCTAAATCCGTTTGCTTAGCCTGAGGGAAAGACAGAACGACTTAAAGCAAACTTCCTGCTTCTCCCACCAATATGCTTCCTGCTTGGAGATGGTGACTGGAGTCTGCTATTAGATTCTCGGTAGCCAACCTCACTCTTAGAAACTAATAATTTACTACCTAATTAGGAAACTCCTTACCTCAGCTTTCCACTCCTACCAAGGATATCTGACAGATACTTGTATGCTTGAAACCCATTCAATATAGCACAGTGTGGGAACAAGCTGTCTCTTTGCTGAGGAAAAATTCTTTGTGGTTTATCAGATGACTCAGTTTTCATTATGCAATTAATTTTCTATATCAAGAAACTATAATCTGTCAGCATATAAATGTTTTTCAAGCAGAAAAAGTATCTGTTAATTTAACTGACTCTAAAACATGTTTACTGTGGACAATGTGGAGAACAACAACAGCGGACTACATTTCCATATATCACTTCTGAATATCCAGGCACATTTCACATATGTAACTGAGCTACAGGCTGCAAAAATTGCATCTGGGTTAGTTTTAAACTCACTTACAGCAATCTGCATACAGAGTCAGTGGAGAGCAAACCATTTAAATAGAAATTCCAGTTCTGTGTAAGCACATGCAAATTTTATGACTGTAAACAAACTGCAGGCATAAACGTTAGTGTTTAACTTCAGAAATGAGCTGAAAATTTGGTATTAAATAATGTGAAGCACAGACCATTGAACTCATGCAAGAACAAGGCACATTTTTCTCAAGTGAAGGTGAAATAATGAACTATAAACAGTAAAAGTTTCATGTACATATGATACCACTTACAGTATTTTATTGTTTCTAAAAATAGTTATAACAGTTGCAAAATACAGCACTTTCAAACTGAGAGTCATACTATGCTTCCCTACAGAGAACTGGTACCATGATTTTTCTTTTACTGATGTTTCTTTTCTGTGTGACGAATTGACAGATAAGAGAAAGTGACTGCACTCAGTAGAAGAATGAAAATTGTCAGTAAGGCAAAAGAGAGAGGCATCATCAAGAAAGCTGTATTAGAGCACTCTGCAAGGAAAATAGGATAATTTTGGAAACTGAAGATCTAAAGAACCAAATTAATAGAAACAGGATGAAATTAATGCATTTAAGCCCAAGTAATTTTCCTTGGGAACATTTGTTTTTTAAAAATGAGATCATTGTGAACCACTTCTGTAATCTGGCTGTGAAAAAGAACAGGAGAGATACAGGGGAGGAATATGGACCTATTGGTGCCACAGACTAAACTCAATGTATAATTCTGGTCACCTATAATTGGGGGAAAAAAAATCAGATAAACCTATTTAGAACAGATTTAGATCACAGCTACAAAGATAAGCAGGGGACAGAGAGGCTGTCTCATGATGGTGATTTAAAGAATTGGGTTTTTACTCCATGCAAGGATGGTTGTCTTCTATAAACACAGCATGAGATTAGCATCAAAAGAGGGAAAATAAGAATGTCTAAACTCTAGCAAATGTTGGAACAAGAATAGATGGCCATAATCAGCTTCAAAAATTAGAGAAAAATGTTACCATCACAGCAGTGAGTTTCTGCAATAGTCTTCCCAACACAAAAGTCCCATTTAGTTTTCCCAGGTAGTCTGATCTATGACGAAGTATATATGACATGGTTGGTTGTGGTAGCTAAGAACTGGACTTCATGATCCAATATATGCTTTCCAGGACAGTGTTCTGGATTCAAGTTACGTACCTTGAATTACTAACAGTTAGAAAACTGCAGAAGTATGAGATGGCTGTATGTCCTATTGTACATTCAGAATTTAATGCTTCCAAAATATTTTCTATTAAAGAATTATGAGAACCTCTGTTTATTTGAAAATCATGCTTAAAGGCATCTTAGAAAAGCTTCATCTTGATATTTGTATTGCTTTCTGAAGGAACGTAAGCAGCAGCAGAGCAGTGGCTAGGAGGCTCCAGGCATATTGACCATATTCCATTTGTTCCAGTGCCTATGTTTCCATGGTTGCCTGGAATTTGGTATTTGTGGTTCAAATATCGTTTATAAGGCTTCCAGAGAGATGTCTTCTTTTTTAAATACTACTTGCTTTCATAGAAAAAATAGTGCCTGCTTTGTCATAACTCTATCAAAAGTGTGTCTCCCCTATCTATCATTTCAAAATGTTTCCATAATAGGGTAACTAGCACTATTGAAGATGCTGTGAAGGAATGCTTCACTTACAGGACTGAATGCATTCTTTTATAAGGGACACAGTGGACATTGATTTGCCAGAACGTCATGCAAAACCAAGGGTTGAGTAACTGATAATTAAAAGATCATATGCCTCCTTTTTGAAGGCTTTTATTTAATTGCAACAAAGTTATTACATTCTGAGATTATAGTTGAATTTCTGCCTTTTAACACAGCTTTACATAGTATTCAACGGCTACACATTGCATCCCAGAAAACAGTGTGCCTTGACACAAAAGGAAATGATTATTGGGGTTTTAGAATGCACAGAAGTGCTAGATGTTCCTGTACAATAACCCTACTCCGCAATTAATAATATTATGAAATTGTAGGTTTGAAAACTGTGCTTAGAATGCTACTAGATGAAGCTGAAAGATAAATACCGATACTGAAATCAGGTGCTGTGGAGCAGGGTGGACAGAAAAATGTCCTTATCCTAATTGATTTCTAGTTCTCACATTCTTTTCTCTTTCTTGGCTATGCTGATGGATAAATTTCATTAGATTGACAGAGAAGTACTTACTCTGTTCTGCACAGATGGAAAATTTTTCTATCTATCTATCTGCAATGTTTTTCAGGCTTGCAGGAAGGGGAACAACTGTATAGCACCCACTGGCAATGACATTATGTCCATCACAAGCTTTGCCTGTGCTGCTAAAGAAATCTAAAGCTGAAAGTACTTTACCAATCTGTGCTAAACAAGATTCACATTCCCACTAGTTATGATGATAAACAATGTTCGTCTTTCAGGCCTGGGGGAAGGCAGTTGAAGGAGTCTCAAAATGTCGCAATTCATTACCATTTGAAAGGCTGAACTACAGCTGTATGAAACCAAGTACAAATAAAGAACAGAATAAAGCAAGAATGTGACAGTCTGCATGTGACCGTCGAGAATCCTACTGGCCATACATTTGATTATACTGCAGACATTACATGAGTTTGGCTTCCCACACCGAGTTCTCAAATGCCAATGCTGATATGTGTCCCTGGTCAAGACCTGGGCATCAGTATCACTAGATGCATTTCTGAACGACAGTGATGGTTGGGATTACACTGCAAATTAAAAGCTGTGGATGTGCAGTGTGTCCAGAGCTCTGCTTTACCTCTCTGAACAACCCCTATTTGGAAGTCTCCAAATTCTGAATCCCTCAGGCACACAGTACAGCCTTCATGGAGAGGTATAGGCTTTGGAGAAGATAGGGAGTTCAGACATGAGTCTGATCTGAATGACTTGGGACTGATTCCAGGTGGTTGCCTTTAGCGCGTAGGTTTTGTGGAGTGCTTTGTGAGGATGCTTAGTTACTGCTGTTGACTATGTAAGGGAACCTAGAATTCCATTAATTTCTTGGGACCAAGCACTTCATATTTCTGTGTTGCATAGAATGGAAGCACCTAAAAGTTCTTTTAGGTTTCACCTGAAAAGCCTATATAAGGGTTTCTAATATATTTTTCCTAAATTTCTCTCTTAAACAAACCTTCTAAGGACCCTTTGTAGTCCTTCCTTTGATTAGAAGTCAACATGTGATGATGAATGGAACAACTTGGACATGTGCTCCTCAGTCTGAAAGACTTAAGGTGTTTTTGGAAAAGAAAAATCATGAAACCCTAGATTCTTGAAAACAGTTTTGACACTTACTTCTCCATCAAAGTATTTATGCACTTAACTCCTATCGATTTTACAGAACTGAGCCTGAAACTCTTTTTAAAACTCTCAACATCTAAACTGACAAGAAAAGCTAGGACAACAAGAAGAAAACACCATTATCCCTGCTTTACAGATGGGGAACCAAGAAGATCAAGTACTTTGCTCAGATTTGTACTAGAAATGTAACAAAAACTAAAACCTGATTCTTTCCTACTTTTTTTTTTTTTCTTTTCTGAATACCACCTCTACTGCCTATGTTTTCCCAATAAAACAGGATTTAGCTAACAATAGCAATCTTCCTCTATGAGTCTCACAGCTCCCGAATATTCTATTTTCTTCCCTGGTGGTCTGTACATTTAGCCATAATTTCAGGATTATTGTTTTTATAGCAGTCTTCTACAGACAA